ACATATTTACAGGTCATACGAAATCCATAACCCCTTGCTCATACATATATATCCATTATTGTATGCGTACGGTGACTTATATTTGCTTACATCTACGTCATTTGGTCTCTCTTGGATAGTTGTCTCATTGGAAATCATACCACATCTTCTTATTTTTATGTTATAGTATATTGCAGTATCGTACACTAGTTTTGAACTTTCCTCGAACTCATTTCCGTAGTTCAGCGACTGACTGGAAAAAAATACTCACTTATTTTATGTATCCGGATAACTATTTTGGGTATATTGGATCCATGAAAGATCTACATGTCTTTCAGATAGGGTTTACATGAACTCGACCTCATTTCATGGATCAGTGATCTCGGAATATGTTTTGTGGTCAAGTCCGTATCTCAGATACTATAAGCAATTATAGGTTGAATATATTTGGTATAAAGAAATATCGTAAGGTAGATATGTCCGACTGACAAGTTTCGCCTGACCTTGATTCCATTTTCATGGAACATTGGTCAATGTTAAGTTTTTTTTGTCTGTTTCTCAGAAAGTATAAGCAAAATAGTATTAACAAAAATACCGAACTCCAAGGTATTCAAAAGGGGGTGTCCATGAAACCTGACAAAATAAAACGTCAGACTATATCAAAGAGCGGAACAAATGGAAAACAACTGTCCTATTTCTGACTTGCTACATGCATTTTCCGAAGACATAATTGGTTGATGAGACAATAATTGAGAGCAAGTGTACTACATTGTTTAAACATACAACTCAGACATGCAAAAAAGGGACGAAAGATACCAGAGGGACAGTCAAACTCATAGATCGAAAACAAACTGACATTTTTGAGATATAAGCCAAAAATTGCATTTTACCCCTACATTCTATTTTTAGCCATGGCGGCCATGTTTTTTTTACGAAACAGAAAATAAAACACAATCTTTATTCTAGATACCCTTAGAATCATTCAGCTTAAGTTTGGTTGGAATTAGTTCAGTAGTTTCAGAGAAGATGATTTTTAAAGTTAGAAAACATGATAACAAATTGTTTAAAATTGTCCTTAAAGGGTAATAACTCCTTAAGGGGTCAATTGACAATTTTTATCATATAAACTTATTTGTAGATCTTACCTTGCTTAACATTTTGCTGTTCACAGTTTATCTTTATCATTAATACTATTCAAGATAATAACCAAAAACTGCAAAATTTCTTTAAAATTACCAATTTAGTGGCAGCAATCCAATAATAGGTTATCAGATTCAACTGAAAATTTCAGGGCTGATAGAACTTCACCTAATGAACACTTTAACCACACGTCAGATATGCTGTATATGCTTCGGTTTTTGAGATATAAGCCAAAAACTGCATTTTACCCCTATGTTCTATTTTTAGCCATGGCGGCCATGTTATTTGACGAAACAGTAAATAAAACACAAACTTTATTCTAGATACCTTAAGCATCATTCAGCTTAAGTTTGGTTGGAATTTGTTTAGTAGTTTCAGAGGAGAAGATGTTTGAAATATTTTAAACCAGACGGACGATGACGGACGACAACAGACGACGACGGACGCCAAGTAATGGCAAAAGCTCACAGCTCCTTCGGAACGGTGAGCTAAAAAAGAAGATTCAGATTGATTGATTTGTGTTTGCATAATATGAAATATTGTATGCATATTCAAAAGCAATTGTATATCAATCGTCTTCGTCCTTTAGGTAATGTTATTGTGAAATATAATGATATGTATACGATTTATTTATTTCTGTCATTTAAAAACATGAGAACATTTTATTACCAAACGCATCAGAAATGATAAGAATATAAGTTTTCTGTGTTAAGTAAGATACAATTAAATGTATTTCGGTTGTTTACACACCGTTTGATCTTCTTTATCTCTTACAGTGAGTTATATTATTAACAAACAATTTCTGAATACCTGTTTCAACCAGGTGCACCCCTTATACCCGAGTCATATGTATATTCATTTCTATCATTAGTTGTAAAGAATTTATAGGATAAATGACACAGTAGAGACTGGTATTTCTGTTTGTTTTTGTTTCGATGTTTTATTGTTGACAGAGGAAAGATATCGTATACAAATTAAAACAAGCGATATATATCTAGGCTTACAGTCGAGATAAGAGCAGCAGAGTCACAATTTTTAAACGAGTATGTCTGTTGCAGGTCTGTTCTTATATTTTTTATATTTCATGAATTCATCCATTCAATTAATGAATGAAAAACATTTGTTCCATAAAAAAAGAATAAATAGTATATAGAATGCTTGAAGAAATGTTTTCTAATAAAAAAAACTGAGGAAAAAAAAATTTCCTGTTATTATTGTTTATATCTAATGTTTTATACAATTTGTTGCCATTCATTATTTTTTATACTTCTTATATGCTTAAAATTGTGTTACACTTCGTTTTCCTTTTTAAAATGTTTGTGTCTGCGTATATATTATATAACTATCATTGATTTATTTTTAGCAAGTCGATCTGTGAGTCAGAATGACATTGAAGCAGGTTGTGTTAAAGATGGTAGAGAATTGCGATTAGTGCTAGTAGGTCGCACTGGAAGCGGAAAGAGAGCCACTGGTAACACAATTCTAGGAGAAAACAAGTTTAAAGCAATGGTTTCTGGATCATCAGTGACTGTCAATTGTAGCCGGGGAGAATGTTATCGCGGAAATAGACTTCTTTTAGTCGCTGACACACCAGGGTTATTTGATACAAACCATTTAAATTTTGAAGTCACGCGCGAGATTAGCAAGTGCGTTGGTATGACGTCACCTGGTCCCCACGCTGTTCTTCTTGTTATCGCAATCGGACGATATACTAAAGAGGAACAGGATACAGTCGAACATTTTATACAGCATTTTGGACATGACGTCATCAAGTATATGATGATAGTCTTTACCCGTGAAGATAATTTAAAACAAGAACAGAAGACCATTGAAGAGTTTCTTGAAACTGCTCCATCTGAACTTAAAGAGATTGTACGAAAATGTGAGAACAGGTACATTTGTGTTGACAATATTGCAAGCGAATCTGAAAAGAAGAGAAAAGTTGATGAACTTATAACAAAAATCGACGACATGGTGGATAAAAATGGCGGTGTTTGTTATACTAATGAGATGTATGCTGCTGCAGAGGATGTATTAGCAAGACGCATGGATCAAATTAGGGCAGAGTTCGAGCAAGACCAAGAACGCGAGAGACGTAAACTTCATAACCAAATATCTTCAGAATTTGAACAGGACATTCGTGCTCTGACAATTGAAAGATCTAAACTAGAAGATAGAATGGCAAGGATGCATTGGGAAAAAGATTACTCCGAGATGGAAAAACAGACTTTACAGATGGAAATGGTACGAATTCAACAACAAAAGGAGATCAGCCAAGGAGAGATGGACGAGGGAGAGAACCGACAATTATCTGAAAGAATCGCAGCACTGCGCAGGCGTGAAGTTCTCCTTAACCAGCAGCTGCAACAAAAAGAACGTCAACGACTATTGATGCTTTCCGATTTAGAAAAAACAAATCACGGAATCAAACAAAAACGAAAGAAAAGAGGAAGAGGATCCTCCATGGGATCTTATCGAAGAGAATACATTGATGAAAAAACTGTCCGACAAAAGGCACGCGATGACGTCGAAAACAAATCCTCAAACATTTTTACAGAACTTTTGGAATCTCTAAAGAACGTTGGAAAAACATTTCTTAGTCAAGCCATCAAATTTTTCAACAATTTGTTTTGAAGTCGTATTTTCTTTATGGTATTTGGATTTTTTCGCCATATTTTTGTACAATTTTATTCTATTACGTGTACGTAAACACAAATTAATGACTGTGTGTTTCTGCAAAATGCGTTATGTATATATGTAAAAGAAAAACATTACCATGAATAGATCTTGAAATATATGCAACTCTTCTAACTGTGAAGTGACTTTATGCGACTATATCATAACAATTGCATAGAGGACTCAAGGATACAACTGCATGCATTGCCTAAAACATGTATAAAGAAACCCGCTACAACCTAGTTTAGGTATATTTACAAATATCGGCCAGTATGCTTACACTGTTGACACACCTGATCTTTTCTGTTTGGATTTGATGTCCTATCGACTCTTTGCACGTCCTCTTTTTCTGTTTTTGTACAAGTACGTACATTGTAGAAGTAATTTTTTAATATTACTCCCTTCAAACTATTTATTATTTATGTTTAAATTTGTATTGGCATAGCCTCTTTTGGAAAAGTAAGATATATTTTGTAAAAATTAAAGTTCCGTTGGTGTTTAACAAGCCAGCATGGTTTGTCTTTTTTTTTTTGCCATTATGTTTGCTGTCCTTCTTAATGCGATTTTCATTCCCCCTCAATATTTTCTTATTTCATTGAAATTCCTACCTATATGATTGCCTATGGTAATAATATCAGGTGAAATAAATTTAAGCGTTTGGAAAATTGTGTTAAAAATTTGATATACTAATTAATTAGAAAAACACTGAAGGTGTAGAACAGTAATAACCATAAATTTATAAAGACCAAACAATACCATTGCCAAAAAAAAAAACAACAAAAAAAAAAAACAACAAAATAAACAAAAAAAAAAAAACAAATAGGGCAATAGTAAAAATAAAAAAAACAACAGTTCGATTCATGTTTATAGAATTAAACAAAAAAGAATTTTGACATAGATTAGTTTATTGAATAAAGGCTGATACACAATAATAAAACTTAAACTTTTAGAACTGGAAAATCCCACTTTTACACATTTCTCTCCCCGTAGAATATATATGAATATGACGTATGCGTTCCATGTTATGTTATAATAAGAACTATACCACATTAAAACCTCTAAAAGATAAATATTTTAATATGAAAATAAAAAAATCTACTTTTTGAACAAATGTCCAATATTTATTTAATTTTCACAAATTATATCTCTTCCGCAGTATCACATGTAAGCGATACATTAGTTGAAAACTGATTCAAGGTGGATAGGTTTTTTTTCTGGATACAACGAACAAATTATACAAAGAAGGAAGATTTCATGATAGATTCACACTTTTGTAATTATTATTACTGAACTTGTACATGTTGTAATATATTTCTGTAATGAATTATTGTAAAAATCATTGTCTACTAGGATGTGTGAATTCTTTCATTCATAATATCTGTTATGCCCCCACAAATATATTGTTTCATTTAAAAACACGGAAGTGTAAAGTGTTTCTAGGAATCATCCTGTTTGTCCGTCCGTCCGTCTGTCTGTCAATCATTCTGTATATGTGAAATAAGGATTTTGCATGATTGCCGATGAGACAACCATCCAACAAAATATAAATGACGTAGACGAAAGCAATTATAGGCCCCCATACGACCTTTCAACAATTAATAAAACCCATACATACCGTATATTGAGCTATAAAAGGTCCCGACATGACAAAATATGAAACAAATAAACAAAACACCAGCGGTCTGATTTACAACAAAACAATAACAAAAATAGATATAACAGATATCAACCAACGACAAACACTAAATTATAGGCTTCTACCTTAGAACAGTGTCATATAGAATGCACCTTGTAAGCACAACTACTCCTAACGGGATGTATGGATATAAATGGTACTTTACACAGTTGTAGAACTCTACCTGAGAAAGTGGATAGATGAATAAAATGTCGGTCCTTCGTGTTTGAGGGGACATACACGAATTTAATTATTTCAATAATGCAATTAGAAGCTATAATATAATGGGAATGTAGTATCCTTTTGTGAGTTCACTTGTAGTTCTAGATTGCCAATAGATTGTTTTTATCATGCTTAACATTTTTTTTTACTTGAAGCTTGCTACTTCAAGAAGTAAAGCAGATCCAAATACATGCATTTTGTTTATGTATTTTTCTGTAAATTTATTGATAATAAGTTGTAAACTCAGTAGAAACACTCAAGTTTTCTACTCTCAGGCATATAGGAATGATATTTGCCCAGATTTTGCCTAACTTTTTGGAACAGTTTTCTACTCTCAGGCATTTAGGAATGATATTTGCCAAGATCTCGCCTATCTTTTTGGAACAGTTTGTTCTCTCAGGCATATAGGAATGATATTTGCCCAGATTTCGCCTAACTTTTTGGAACAGTTTGTTCTCTCAGGCATATAAGAATGATATTTGCCCAAATTTCGCCTAACTTTTTGGAACAGTTTGTTCTCTCAGGCATATAGGAATGATATTTGCCCAGATTTAGTTTTACTTTTTTCTCTCAGGCATATAGGAATGATATTTGCCAAGATTTCGTCTAACTTTTTGGAACAGTTTTCTACTCTCAGGCATTTAGGAATGATATTTGCCCAGATTTCGTCTAACGTTTTTGAACAGTTTGTTCTCTCAGGCATATAGGAATGATATTTCCCAGGATTTCGTCTAACGTTTCGGAACAGTTTGTACTCTCATGCATTTCGTTTATGTATTTTTCTGTTTATTTACTGATAATAATTTGTAAACTCAGTAGAAACACTCAAGTTTTCTACTCTCAGGCATATAGGAATGATATTTGCCCAGATTTCGCCTAACTTTTTGGAACAGTTTTCTACTCTCAGGCATTTAGGAATGATATTTGCCAAGATCTCGCCTAACTTTTTGGAACAGTTTGTTCTCTCAGGCATATAGGAATGATATTTGTCCAGATTTCACCTAACTTTTTGGAACAGTTTGTTCTCTCAGGCATATAGGAATGATATTTGCCCAGATTTCGCCTAACTTTTAGGAACAGTTTGTTCTCTTAGGCATATAGGAATGATATTTGCCCAGATTTAGTTTTACTTTTTTCTCTCATGCATATAGGAATGATATTTGCCAAGATTTCGTCTAACTTTTTGGAACAGTTTTCTACTCTCAGGCATTTAGGAATGATATTTGCCCAGATTTCGTCTAACGTTTTTGAACATGTTGTTCTCTCAGGCATATAGGAATGATATTTCCCAGGATTTCGTCTAACGTTTCGGAACAGTTTGTACTCTCAGGCATATAGGAATGATATTTGTCCAGATTTCACCTAACTTTTTGGAACAGTTTGTTCTCTCAGGCATATAGGAATGATATTTGTCCAGATTTCGTCCAACATTTTGGAACAGTTATCTACTCTCAGGCATATAGAATTGATATTTGCACAAAATTTCGCCTAACTTTTTGGAACAGGTTGTTCTCTCAGGCATTTTGGAATGATATTTGCCCAGATTTCGTCTAACGTTTTTGAACAGTTTGTACTCTCAGGCATATAGGAATGATATTTGCCCAGATTTCGTCTAACGTTTTGGAACAGTTTTCTACTCTCAGGCATATAGGAATGATATTTGCCCAGATTTCGCCTAACTTTTTGGAACAGTTTTCTACTCGCAGACATATAGGAATGATATTTGCCCAGATTTCGTCCAACTTTTTGGAACAGTTTGTTTTCACAGGCATTTAGGAATGATATTTGCCCAGATTTCGTCTTACTTTTTGGAACAGTTTGTTCTCTCAGGTATATAGGAATGATATTTGCCCAGATTTCGTCTAACTTTTTGGAACAGTTTGTTTTCTCAGGCATTTAGGAATGATATTTGCCCAGATTTCGTCTAACTTTTTGGAACAGTTTTCTACTCTCAGGCATATAGGAATGATATTTTCCCAGATTTCGTCTAACTTTTTTGGAACAGTTTGTACTTTCAGGCATATAAGAATGATATTTGCCCAGATTTCGTCTAACGTTTTGGAACAGTTTGTTCTCTCAGACATTTAAGAATTATAATTGCCCAGATTTCGTATTACGGTTTGGAACAGTTTGTTCTCTCAGGCATAAAGGAATAATATTTCCCCAGATTTCGTCTAACTTTTTGGAACAGTTTGTTTTCTCAGGCATTTAGGAATGACATTTGCCCAGATTTCGTCTCACTTTTTGGAACAGTTTGTTCTCTCAGGCATTTAGGGATGATATTTGTCCAGATTTCGTCTCACTTTTTGGAACAGTTTGTTTTCTCAGGCATATAGGAATGATATTTGCCCAGATTTCGTCTAACTTTTTGGAACAGTTTGTTCTCTCAGGCATAAAGGAATGATGTTTTCCCAGATTTCGTCTAACTTTTTGGAACAGTTTTTACTTTCAGGCATATAAGAATGATATTTGCCCAGATTTCGTCTAACTTTTTGGAACAGTTTGTTCTCTCAGACATTTAAGAATGATATTTGCCCAGATTTCGTACTACGTTTTGGAACAGTTTGTTCTCTCAGGCATATAGGAATAATATTTCCCCAGATTTCGTCTAACTTTTTGGAACAGTTTGTTCTCTCAGGCATATAGGAATGATATTTGCCCAGATTTCGTCTAACTGTTTGGATTAGTTTTCTAATCTCAGGCATTTAGGAATGATATTTGCCCAGATTTCGTCTTACGTTTTAGAACAGTTTGTTCTCTCAGGCATAAAGGAATGATATTTCCCAGATTTCGTCTAACTTTTGGAACAGTTTGTTCTCTCAGGCATTTAGGAATGATATTTGCCCAGATTTCGTCTAACTTTTAGGAACAGTTTTCTTTCAGGCATAAAGGAGTGATATTTGCCAAGATTTCGCCTAACTTTTTGGAACAGTTTGTTCACAATACTCCTCAATCCCGTAATTGATTAGGGAGCTACATTTGACTTTTATGGGGATGGGTGGGGGCTAGGATGAAATTTGAAAAAAAGGCAGGACAGGAGTTTTGAGAGGCAGGATGAGCAACTTGGCAAAAAAAAAGATAGGATGTCAATTTATGTAAAAAGAAGTCAGGATGTAACAATATACATAAAATTTGAAAATGGTTCTAAGTTTTTAAAAAATTATAATGATACATGGTTGATATTCAAGTCATATGCCCGGACACACACATTAACATTTGACCACAATGATTAATTTGAAAAATTGTATACAAGTGTAAAAACTTACTTAGGTTAGAAGATCATTTAAGTCAAAATCTAAATGGATACAACTATTTACCTCCACACAAAATATAAATTTTACAGAGTTGGCTTATTCTGGAATCATAAAAAAATCAAAAAACGAATTTTGGGATGAAGTTTTTAATGCCTGGAAAAATATGTCAAAACTCAAAAATCCTTTTCATTTTGAGGAAGTCATTTCGGCATCTATATGGAATAACGAACATATTAAAATTGATAATGTCAGCGTTTACTATAAAAATTGGGCACACCATGGGGTATGGACTGTAAATGACCTGTTAGATGAACATGAAAATATATTATCATATGAAAATTTTCAAATACTGTATAATTTCGAACCTTTGTTTCTACAGTTTTATGGGCTTATACTAGCACAAAAAGGGGGTTACAAGCCATTGGAATAAACACTGAAAGAGAGAAAAAACATCAGGCTATCATGCCTTTTAATATTATTATTTTCTTCAAGTCAGAAAAGGGCTCAAAGAATATGTTTACTATTTTGAACCAAGGTACTATACCTATAGATTTTGCAGCAGAAACAAAATGGGAAGGTATTGTAAATAAAGTTGTAGAAAATTGGAAAAAAATACACTTTTGTGTTACCAAGGTTTAAAAAACACTAGGTTATGTTGGTTTCAATATAGAATTATTCATTATGTCTTGGGTACAAACGCTCTACTCTTTAAAATGAAACTTGTAAAGTGTAATTTGTGTACATTTTGCAAGGAAGAGACAGAAACTATAGAACATTTACTTTGCGGTTGTTATATTGTAGACGACATTTGGCACAAACTGAATTTGGATTTTCGATATAGTTCATATCGAAATTCCACTAAATTTGGATGTTGTCATTTTTGGCGTGTATGAAAATTATAAATTGAATTTTATCAAAAATAAAGTTATTTTACTGACAAATTACTCTATTTACAGATCTAAGATGCAAGATATAAAACCTCATATAAAAGGACTTCAAAATTACATAAAAGAAAACTTGATTTTAGAAAAACATATTTCCTCAAAATATTTAAGTATGGAAGAACACAACGTGTACTGGAAACCCTGGGCTAAGGTCACTGATTAAATTTAAATACATATACATATGTGTGTATATGAGTATTTGAGAGTATCTGTATACTGTTATACCATATGCATGTACATATGTGTTCTTACACTACTATTACTACTATTATTACATTGATGAAAATGTTATTACTATACTTAATCCATACATTTCACACTGTTATACCATAGTATACTTATTATGCTTATTTATTTTACTTGCTTGATTATTGTGCCACAAGATAAATATAAGTTGATACCTGTAAATTTCTTGAAGAAAAAAATTAAATTAAAAAAAAAACATTTGACCACATTGGCGTTGCTTTTTGTTTAGGTAGTGTGTGCTGCAACGTAAACTCTTTAGGGAAAAACAGCTAAAGAGTAACTTCCGTATAAAAGATTGAAAACCATTTGTA